GCAGGCCCTTAATTCTGTTGGTTGGTAAAGACATCTTACTCTCTACCTGCAGGTCCAAACAACATTAGCAATAGATACCCAAGTTCACATAGGAAAATAGGGCTGAAGATTAATAGCAGCGATAATTCTACATGGTAACTGTTTTTAAGGTTAGCTTGCAGAACCAACATATCAAGGAAGTAACAGGCTTTCTCCTTCTTTCTCTAGAATGCAAAGCTTACACAAGATTACACCAAGAGCCTCAGTTGAAACCAATATTAATCTTTAACAATTTTGTTTATGCAGAGGAAAGGGGATAGGAATGTTTCTTTCAAATTTGAATCAGACAAGATGGTCCTGGAGCAGCAAAGATGAGGCAGAGAACAGCTTTAGGGATAATAAAGTTTTGCACATTTATAGAATCATAGAGTTCAAGGTTTACTTAGTCTAAGCCCCAGCACAGACACAGGATTCACTATTCTAAGCCATCCCATTCCAGTGAAGAGGAACGCATGAAAAAAGAACATTTCCTCTCTGCTGATCCCACCCTACCCTTTCCTCTGTAGGTCACTGTAATAGAAGAGGAGGAAGAGAAACCCTTGCAAGTTCAGTGTGCCTCTGCTTCCCTGGTGTTTGTTTCCTGAAGGATCCTCACCAGAGTTCAGAGCTCTAAATTCTGTAAATTTGTGGACTGACAGCTATTTTTCTGAATCTCAGAAACAAATGCTTTGGCTCAGAATAGAAACAATAGGTGACATAGCTCTTAGCTTCACAGCCTTTAAAGTCAGTTGTATTAATCTGATGACCTGTATGGATCTTTCTAATGAAGGTTTTCTTAACAATTTGTACTGCTCTCTCCATCAGCTTCTCCACTTGGCAGTTGTACAACCTGGAAGTAAAAGCTTGAAATTATACTTTCTTTCAAAGCTTGCAATTCAAATCTACAAAAAAAAAGTGTCTTGTTGGCAGTTACAATTTACGGATCCAAACTTTCCAAAGTTATTTAGATCAAATGGTTTGGTTCATGGGCAACTGGTGCCTCCCGAGTCTGCAACATCATAGCATTCATGAGTTGCCTGCTACCTAGAGGTATGTAGAAAAAACATTTAATGCTGTGTCTATGTTCAAATTGCTGAATCTTTCTGAATCTCTCCAAATCAATTTGGAGGGTACCGATTCGATTCAGAGAGATTAAAGGGTTCTGTGATTCAACCTGGATTTAGAGATTTGGCTGCCGAATCTCCGTCAAATTAAATCAAGGACTGAAGCTTTGCACAGCCCTAATTGATAGCAGTTTAATAATACCGTAATTTCAGAAACTGAAAAGATTTTGAAGTACAATCCTTCAGGTAGCAAAAGCAAATATTAGATGAATGGAGACTCAGCTGCCTCTGGTCTAAATTTTCTGTTCAGTTCTAAGAAGTTCAAAAAATGAAATAGAAATATAAACCAGAGTTAGTCAGAGTTAGGTCATAGAGTTCATCATAGACCTTTTAATACTGATTTCAGCAAATAGTTCTTTAATTCATCCAATCTGAGATAAGGTATCCAAGTTAGCTGCCTAGCTAGGATATTAGAAGACAGGATAGAACGCTGGATTAGGACTCAGGACACTAGAGTTCTATGTTTTACTGTATTAATGATCTCCCTGATACTAATGTATTCCTGTTTTTGCCCCTTTCTTATTTACAGGATGGAGGCCTATCTTTCACTTTGTTAACAGTGTAGCACATAAGATGCGGTACCAGTCCCAGGTGATCTAAGTTCTACTGTGACAAAAAATAAATAAATCAATGAACCATGGAACAAAATACCTCACAGCTTTTGCTACCATCATAATAGTATAATATTCACCTCACTTATTATGCTGATCTCATGTAATATTTATTCCTGCAGTCCCTGAGAAAAAATCCAGCTGAGATTCACTGGGTATTTTGACTAAGGATTGCAAAATCCACTTCTTTCATGGATAGTTATTATACTTTTATATTAAAGTCAACTACTCCCCTTCACCAATAATTGGGAATTCTAAAAATCTGTTAAATTGAAGATCAGTGCAAGGTGGGCTTAAGAGATGAGTGGCAGATGCCCAGCTGATACAAATCACTGGACGCCTATAAATAAAGTGAAGATAATAATTAAAGTAATAATTATAAATAATTATGTATATAAATAATTATAATTAAAGTGAAGATTCTGAATTTTGAAGAATAAAGTGATTGTCATGGGATAAAAATAATATTAGTTAATAGTGTAAAGTATGTTAATTTCTAGCTTGTGTAGAGCAATTTACAGGATATTTGCACTTCCTGCATATGGACGGTGTCACACTTACTAAATACAGTTAGAACATGAGCAGATGCACCTTCAAGTAGTTTAGCATGTGTTGAGTACCCTCATGGTGTTGCAAAGCTGTTTACTTTCATGGTGGTGGTGGGGGGGGTGAGGTATCTCCTAACATGTACTGATTTTAATGAATTACTATTCCAATGAGTTGCAACTGCTGTAAGTGAGTGTATGACACAATCTTGTTATACATAGGTCAGAGACCTGAACTGGCTGTAGAGTGTAAAGTTGTAAAAAAATTAAAAATTACTTAGCTAAACCTAAATCCCATTGATTTTCAAGGTGATTTAGGACCCAAAGACACTTAAATCCTTTTGAAATTTTATCCAGCACCTTCAAATGATTCACAAATAACTTAACAGAAAAGGATTTAGGAGGTGCATGTATAGAATATCACAGTTCCTGGCAGCAGCCAACAAAGTAATAGGCTATTTGGATGTATGAAAAAACCCAAGTATGCAGTAGGGAAAAATGCAATGCCAATTATTCAATAAAACTTTGCCTACAGTGCTCAGTTTTTCAGAAAGCTATTGAAAAAAATGGAAAGGTAAAAGGAAGGGCAACAAATGTAAGTAGCTTAGTTCTTAATTTCAGTTATGAATGAGGACTTGGAAAACTACTCCTAGGTATTTATTACAAAACAGGAAAGTACAGATCCGATCATGCAGCTCTCCACCTGTGTAAGATTCTAGCACAGACTCCCTACAGGAAAACTACTGCAGGGGCAGACTTAATAAAGGACATGGATGAAGTACTGTATCTTTAAGGCATAATGGAACGAGACTAGACCCCACAGAATTATTTTTGATGTATTCCATTCTGGAAGGAAAGGGATGTGAATTTTCAGTCAGGGGGTCAAAAAGCAAAGATGATTGACGAGGAACTTGATTTTTCACTGGGTTGATTAATTTATGGAATGAATTGGCATAAACAGTAATAGAAATGATTAGGGTATATTAAAGAAATGCTTAAAGAGGAAAACAAACTACTAGGTATAGCCATTGGCATGTGAGAGAGACTTGCATGGATAACTTCTCAAGTGACAAAAGTTCCTGTTATATAATGTGCATATTTTCTTCAGCCTGCTTTCAAGTTGCCATTAGATGGTTTCTTTATAGACATTCTGTTTGCAAAACTACCCCTGTAGTCAAGCAAAATGCCACCAAGCATGGCAAGAGTCCTTCATGTTATATTAAGAAGATAATAACCTCTTGGTTTAGAAAGAGTCTGGCAAGACTGTTACCAGATTTCTCACATACCATGCATAACTAAATAAGACCCTCACCTTGTTTTAGGGAAGGCAGAAAGAAGAAGAAAGCAGGGACAGAGCTTAATCTTCAGCTTGCTCACACTCCCTTTCCTGCTCAGGCAAATGCTACAGTTTAACCATTTCACAGCTGAACTGAGAGCAGCTCTTAGTTACTCAGCCAAAAGCTGAAACTATAGCTGCTGCTGAAGATTGGACTCCATGGATCCAGGATTTGGAAAAGAGCTAAAAACAGTCCAAAGGGCTGTGAAATAGGGGGAGAGACACCTTGAGTAGCTAATATACAGCAAAATTGCTGAAGAAAGCTTGATTAATGGAACATTAAAAGGAGAGTTGTTGATATCTGTAGACTGAAGAGCAATTAGCAAGAATCAGGTATAAAGAGCTATGAAGTCAGCCCTGCCTGAATAGAAATGCTATGGCTGCAGCCAGGCAGTTGGTTTTAAATTTGGGTGGTGCAGGAATCAAAGTGGGGTGCAACCATGCCACTGTACCCCTCTGGATCTGTCCCTGCTGGACTTTGCCTCCCCCTCCACATGGCTGCTAGAAGGAAGAGAAGTAACAGCCATCTTATATTGTGTCTCCATACTTCTATTTTGGGCAGAAAAATTATCTTCCTCACTTAAGATACATACCCACTGAAGATATACATGCCACAGGCAGTGTTTCCTGGTTCCAACCAGCTTTTAGCAATTTGACAGCAGTGGAGGGTGACCATATTAATCGCCACCACTCCCCCACTGCCAGATTTCCTGACTCTTGGGGAGCCCTGTGGGCTGGATGCCATGGCTCCATGGGCCAAATTTGGCTCATGGGCTAGAGGCACCCCGGTCTACACTGTCTGTCTGTGCAGCCTACATGGTCTTTCTCCTCAGTGTTTCCCAAATACCAATTTCTGTAGTGCATAGCCACCCACAGCCTCTAGGCCAGTGGTTCTCAAACTGTGGGTCACGACCCGAAATAGGGTGACAACATCAGCTGATGGGGTCACGGGGGTGGGGGGCTGTGGGTTGGGAGCGAGGGGCTATGCTGAGGAAAGGGGGATCATCGGTGGGGTCATGCTGAGGAAGCGGGGCCAGCAATGGGGGTCATGCTGAGGACAAGTTTGGGAAGTGCTGTCCTCCTCTCCCAGCAGGTCTGCACTTTTCACTCTGCCCCTTCCTACTTGAAGGCTCTGGGTTGCTCTTGCAGCGGTGTTGCCTGGTTCAGGACACAGGCAGGCAGCTGGGATAGCTTTCATTAGACCAGCTGAGTACTTGGAGAAAAAGTTCTCTGCGATGCCAGGTTGCTCTTGTGCTGCTGTCGGCGCACCTCCGGCCCGCCCGGGGTGTCTGGAGCCCCGGTCCCCGCCTGCGAGAGCCCGCCCGGGACTGCAGCCACACACCCCTCCTCGCTGCTACGTGTGTGTCACACACACACACACACACAGGCACGCGCCGGCTGAGCCTCCAGCTGCTGCCTGATCCTCACCGGACGCAGGGAGGGAGGGAGGCAGAGCCGAGAGCGGGGAGCCTGCCCATGGCTGACAAGAGCTTCATCGAGGAGTCCGAGCCGTGCCCGCGGAAGGACGAGGCTCTGGAGTGGGGCTACGAGGAAGGTAAAGGCGGCTGGAGGCGGGGCTGGCGCCACTCCGCCGCCCGACCCGACCCCAGCTCCAGCTCCTCCCCACAGAAGGGAACCCGGCTTGTTTCAAGGTGCCCCCAGTGTCGCTGTGCCCGGGACCGGCCAGCCCAGCCCATGGCTGAGAGCCCCAGAGCCACCCGACTTCCTAGCGTGGCTGGAGGGATGGGTCTGCTTTGGGGAAGACCCCGCCGCCAGCTTGCTGGATGCTTATTTCTCATCCTAGAACTTGATTTCTGGCTTGTCTTGCATAGGGGGAGGAATTTTCCTCACATTTTCTTTTGTGCAGAAGCAAACACTAGTGGTGGACTGTTGGGGTTGCAGTCGGTCTCCTAAATGGACCCTCCCACGTTTTGAAAACTTGTCTTTAGAAACCCTGTGGGAGCAAGGGTGGCTTTAAAGAAATCCAATGTTTTAGGGTAGCGAAGCACTGGAGCAGGCCACCCTGAGAGGTTGTGGGATCTCCTTGGAGGTTTTTAAGACCCTGGTAGACAAAGCTTTGGCTAGGATGATGTACTTGGGGATGGTCTGGCTTTGAGCAGGAGGTTGAATAGATGACCTCTGGAGGTCCCTTCAAACCCTAATTTTCTATGAATCATTTGGGTTTGAGGCTGATACTGAGGGAAAGGACTCATGTGCCTGTCATTATTTGCCTTTGTCCTAATCCCCTAAGATTGCATCTCCATCACCAAAGCTCTCTGAATTTATTTCCACATGATTACATGTTGCAGGAGTGGAGTGGGGACTGATCTTCCCTGATGCAAATGGCGAATACCAGTCTCCGATCAACCTGAATTCGAGAGAAGCCAAGTATGACCCTTCCCTCCTGGAAGTGCGCCTGGCACCAAACTATGTTGTCTGCCGGGACTGCGAAGTCATTAACGATGGGCATTCGATTCAGATTGTCCTGAAGTCGAAATCAGGTATGCTCCAACAGGGTTTCCATCTTTTCTGCACAGAGCAAAACATCATTTTATGGTTTTTATTGGTGTATAAATGTGCAAGGTGTATTGTTCATGAAGCAATTGATCAGAGAAGCAACACTTCCTTCTGTGCAACTGGGAGGCTGATCATCGCTCATCCTGGCAGCCAATGGGAATTTTGCCCCTGACTTCAAAGAGAGCAGGTAGAAGTCTTGTGCATTGATTATAGCCCAAAACTGGACGTTCTTTTTGAGAACCTGTTAGAAATCAAATCATTCATCCTTAAGACAAGGACCTTTGTTGTCAGTTTGTTTCAGAGGATGATGCATTGCTGAAAATAGGCACTTGTGGCCTTGTGACCTAATTCCCTTTAGCTAACAAGTGCCTGTAGTTCAGAAATAGCCAAGAATATAGCTAAGATGTTGCCCATCCTAAATTGTATCATGTAGTTCAGTTGACTAAGATCTGTGAACCTGACCTAAAGCCCATGTAAGCCAAGAGGAGTCTATATTAATTTAAATGAGTGCAGAATGAGACAATGTATGGATACTGTGGACCGTGATTTGATCTAGCATAGATGATTTGAAATGAAACACTTACAGTTCTTCTGCTGAGAATATTGACAATGAACACATTTTCCAGATGCGAATGGATGTCAGTTGTAATGGCATTGCACCACTATTTACCTCAGAATTAATTAGAAGGCAATAAAAGAAGCATTTCCAGGTGCAATTCTGGAAGAATTCCAGGGCCAGAACATTGACTCGGGATGAGTTGTCAGTTTTGCAGGACTTGAGGTTCAAGAAAGAAGGGGGAGAGAGGTAGTTCTTTGTGCTTTTCCTATGTCAGGGGTCAATTCAGCTCATGTGTAATTCAAGGAGTCTTAGATTGGTTCTAACCTATGCTGGCTGATAAGGTGTGTTGTGGGGTCTGTTGTGTACCTGACAGTTGCCAGAGTACAAGATATTCCAGTAGTGCCTCCTCCTGGCACTATCAGGCTCCCTAGATGATATCCCCTGGTTTCCCATGCTGAGGAGATCTATAGGCACTCCTTGTAGGCAAAGAGAGATGACCAAAGGCACAGCCTCTAGCCCTGATGCTTATTTTCTCCAATCCAATAATAGAGATGAGAGATTTGTATGTCAACAGAAACAGGTAAGCACTCTACATCTTTGATATGTGCTTTAGTATGTTGTGCTAGCATTAGGGATTAATGTTAATACCCAGAAAAGATAATATTGTTGGGGGTGTTTTCTGCTTTTTAATACAATTTAGCAGCTGGGAATAAAGATAAAAGCTAGCATTGTGTGTCAGCTCTCCACAGATCACTAGAAAGTGTTTGGAGGACCGTCCCTGGTACATGGGTCTCAGCTTGGAAACCTCTGCTGTACAGCAGTGTCTTTGCCTTAGAGGCAAAGATCTCAGGACATTCAGCCTTCTTGGGGGAAGTCTGTGTAACTAGGAGCTCTGGCTCTAGTTGGGACTTGGCTCCTTATTTCATAGGAAGAAGCTGAAGCTCTGAGGATCCTGGCTGGAATTGGGGTACTCCAAGCTTCTGTGCTCCTTGACAGAGACTGATGCTGAGATCCTAGGAGGCCTGAGAACCATAAATGAGCCAGGAGTCCTGCAGCTTGAGAGAAAAGCTCCCATATTTAATTTTGCTTTGAAGTTTTACAATGATCCCCCCCCCCCCCCCCTTTTTCTTTTTTTTTTTAATTTTTTTTTTTTTTTTTTTTCCATTTCTTGATAAATTTAATTTTATTTGTCTATTTTAATTTATTTTTTAAACTTTTGGTCTGATTGAGACCACTTGTCCCCAGAAATTTGGAATATCCCACTAAATAGAAATTCTGACTTTTGACCATGATGAGGTGAGGCTTATGTACTTAGACGACGGGCCTGCCCTACACCTAGTTTGACAGGTTATAAAGTTACTTTGCATGGGAAACAAGAATGATCACAAACTTCACCGCTTGCATGTTTAAATGCAAAACTCACTTGAACCTAGTGTCCCCACAAAAGCAATTTTTAGCATTATAAAGAAAGAAGGGAGACACAAAAATCCCATATCCTGACACACACATGCATATGTACACACATACATGCACATGTACACACATTCACCTTTTCATCTAAATGAGAAGAAAATATTATTTTTTTAATTCTGAAGACAGTGTGAGCCTCGACTGATGACTGTTGCATAGAAAATAGCATGGAATAGAATAAAATAAAGGAGAAGGAGGGTGGCTTGTGATTTGGATACTGGATTAGGGTACAGTACCTCTCCATTTTCTTCCAGCTCTCCCACAGCTTTCATAGCAATTAATCTCCCTGTTCTCCATCTGTAAAATTGGTGTAGCTGTTCCATTATAGGGGGAGGAGATGAGAGGAAAGAGTTAATAAGTTGTGCCTTATTCCTTAAGTGGGCCAAACCTTGACCTTGCTGGAACTCCTATAGCTTTCTACTTCACAGGGGTGTTTTGAGGACACTTAGCCTGATTTTCATAACGGGAACTGTTAAACTCTAGGTACTTTGGAAAATCCAGTTAATTAATGTATGAGAGGTAAACAGATACTGTGGTGATAATAGCCACAGAAAAGATTTTACAGCTGTATAAAATAGAATGATTTAATTTAAAACATATATTAAAAAATCAACTCATCATTAATGATACAGGTTTCTAACAGGTTTCTAACAGGTTTCTAACCTGTGTACAGGACCTCCACCTGACACAGGAGGTACACGGTCCCACTAGGGGGAATGCCATACTGGATCTGGTATTGGCAACGGGGGATGACATGGTTGGGGACCTACAGATCGGTAGCCATCTGGGGGACAGTGATCACCTAATAATAGAATTCACCATAAGATGTCGAGTGGGTAAGGTAACTAGTAGGGTGAAAGTGCTAGACTTTAGGAAAGCTGATTTCAGCGAACTCAGGCGATTAGTCAAGGACACACTGCAGAGTAGGAGTTTTGAAGTGATGGGAGCCCAAGAAGGGTGGCTGTGCCTTAAGGAAATGATCCTTCGGGCACAAAGCAAGATGATCCCCTAGTGAGGCAAAAGGGGGAAAGGGGCCAGGAGGCTTCCCTGGCTGACCAGAGAAATCCAGGGCAGCCTAAGGGACAAAAGGGGAGCACATAAAAAGTGGAAACAGGGAGAGATCACCAAAGACGAATATACCTCCTCTGCTCGTGCTTGTAGGGAGGCAGTTAGACGGGCCAAAGCTGCCATGGAGCTGAGGATGGCAACCCAAGTAAAAGACAACAAGAAATTGTTTTTTAGATATATAGGGAGTAAAAGGAAGGCCCAGGGAGGAATAGGACCCCTGCTAAATGGGCAGAAACAACTGGTGACGGACAGAGGGGACAAGGCTGAACTCCTCAACGAGTTCTTTGCCGCAGTGTTCCTAAGTGAGGGGCACGACAAATCTCTCACTGGGGTTGTAGAGAGGCAGCAGCAAGGCACCAGACTGCCATGCGTAGACCCTGAGATGGTGCAGAGTCATTTGGAAGAACTGGATGCCTTTAAGTCGGCAGGCCCGGATGAGCTCCAGCCGAGGG